TCCAAGGTGGAAGATTTCCGCTGCTTTGGGGGAAGAAAATCGATGTCTAAAAATAAAACTTAGGCACAAAATAGGGCCAAATACTCATTCACTGCCTCACTTAGCTGAATGCTGAGATTATTTCAGCAGCACCAAATCAAGCATTTGTGTAGAAGAGGTTGAGCATGTTCAAAAAAAAAAAAAATCCAGAACAGTTAATCTTAGATGGTAAACTGACTACTGTAATTTGTCATTTTTTCAAGACATAAATTATGTAGTTCTCAAATGCCTAATTTTCAGCTTATACTTATGCTGACCCCTGAATTGGAACACTTGTATTCACTAGTCTTTTGAAATGTATGTTGTGGGTTATTATAAGAGAGGCTGGAGGGACAGGCAGGACCAGGAGCCAGAGTACAAAGGTTTGGTAGGTGGGGGTTAAGAATGTGGATCTGGCCCTGGATGGTGTTCTCAGTGGTTAGAGCATCGGTCTGTGCACTATAATTTCTCAGGTTCAATACCCAGTCAAGGACACATACCTGAGGTGCAGGTTGGATCCCCTGCCCTGGCCAGGGCACCTGCAGGAGGCAACCAATCAATGTGTCTCTCTCACATTGTTGTCTTCTTCTCTTTCTCCCTTTCCTCCCCCATCCCTTTCACTCTTTCTAAAAATCAATGGACAAAATATCCTCAAGTGAGGATTAACAAAAAATGAATGTGGATCTGAGTGTGGTGGGAAGCCACTGGAGGGATTTAATGAGGAAGATGTCATAGAAAGATTTATATTTTAAACATATGACTCTTGGCTGCTATATTGACAATGGGTTGTAAGGAGGCAAGCATAGAAAAGGATAACCAGCCAGGTATCTATTTTAGATATTCACGTAAGAGATGATAGTGTTTTGGGAGTAGGATGGTAATGGTGGGCTTGGAGAGAAGTGCACAAACAATGGAGATCTTTCTAATAATCCATTAGCAAAAAAAGGTTGGTTAATGGATTATATATGGGCCATGGGGGAAAGGAAAAGTCAAGGTTGATTTCTAAGTTTCTGGCCTAAACAACTGGGAAGATTTGGTGTTAATTGTTGAGATGAAGACTGGAGAAGGAGCAGGGTAATTTTTGTTGTCATGTTTGGGGTAGGACAGGGAGCAACAGTAAAGGGAATGAAATGGAAACAAGGGCTCATGGTAATTCTGTGATGCCTATAAGGAATCTAAATGAACAGCTCAAATGGGTAGTTGAATATCTGACAAGTTTGAGAATCCTTGGCATACAGATGGCATTCAGAGTCATGGAATAGAGGAACTCACCTAGGGAGAGAATATAGAGAAAATATAAGGCCCAAGAACATCCATATTTCCACATAAATAGGGCAAGCTGGGGCAGAGGCCCAGGAGAGAACTACGGGGGAACAACAGTGAGGAAGGGAAAACTGGAAGAATGTGGTGGTCCAGAAATGAAGAGAAGAATCTTCCATGTGGAAAGTAGAAGCTGGTTATGTTGAATGCTGCTATGAGATGGATAAGATAAGAACAAATTGTATCCACTGTTTTGAGCAATATGGAAGTTCCTGGTCACACTGACAGTGGCAGATACGACATGTCATGCAGATGGGCCCAGAGTGGATGGAGGGGAGATTGTAAAGGGGAAATGAGGACAGCTATTTAAACAATTATTTTAAGAGTTAATAGACCTTAGAAATAGATGGGTAGCTAATCAAAAGTTGGAAGAGAATATTGTTTTTTCCTTTGTTCTTAAGATGAGATGTATTGGAATGTTTATGCTCATGGGAGAGAGAACATGGTCATAGAGTAGAAAGGGGATATAATTGCAGGGATAAATTGCTGGATGCCAAAAAAAAAAATATGTGGGATGAGAGCAATAGTGAAGGGTTTGAGTTGGAGAAGAGGAGCCTGAATTGGTGGTAGGGGGACGAGGGGGTATTTGTAATTAATTGTAACTAATTAATGAAGCAAGAGCACCAGCTGAAATGGAATTGGGAAAAGGGAATGTTGTAAATTTCAAGAAACGGTAGAAACTATTGAAGTTATTTTAGAGAATGGGAAGTGAACAGGAAATGCCCTAAACGTACATTAAACAAGGTGGATTTGATTTTTGCTTGGGAAGAGACTGATTAAATCTTAAGTTGTTTTTTTAATAGCCTGTAAAGGTAAAAACAATTATTACATATTAACATTTGTTCACAGTAGGAAATTAGTTTAATGATTACTGGTAATCTTACTATTCAGAGATAATCATTATAATATATCTTTTAATATATTATACATGCAAATACATCTACAGGAAGAAAAATAAAGGTCTTATTTTAATAACTAATACTATTTTATAGGTTTTTACTTTGCCAAGCATTTTAGGTATTGCTCTGAGAAAGATAGAAGCTATTGGAGTGATAACTGTGTCATATTCCAAATGTTTACTCTAATTGTATTTTAATATGTTTGTGCTGCTTTTCCAATTTTTATGTAGTTATATCTATAATTAGAAATGTACAGTCATGTTAAAAAGGCGCTCTTCCAAGGATATGTACCAATTATTTTTTCTACTATTTAAAATGTAAAATTGAAAGTATAAATTATTAATCTACCAGCTTTTAATATGATTAAATGTAATGAAGGAACCTAATTTTATTTTTGAATAGTTTTAATTATTCTTAAATTTCGTATCCTATAACAAATTTAAAACACAACCTTGCACCCTAGTCAAATAGCTCAGTTGGTTAGAGCAGCATACCAATATGCTACGGTTGTAGGTTTGATCCCTGGTCAGGGCAGTTAAAAGAAGCAACCAATGAATGCATAAATAAGAAAGCCCACTGCATGGGAGAACATATTTGCCGCTGTTATCACCAATAAGGGTTTAATAGTCAACATTTACAGGGAACTCATATAACAACAAAAGGAAGATAAACAACCCAGTCAAAAAAATGGGCAGCGGACCTACATAGGTACTTTTCAAAAGAGGACTTTCAGAAAGCCAAGAGCCATATGAAAACATGCTCAAAGTCACTAATCATCCCAGAGATACAAATCAAAACGACAATGAAGTACCATCTCACACCTGTCAGAATGGCTGTCATCAACAAGTCAATAAAGGACAAGTGCTGGCAAGGATGCAGAGAAAAAGGAACCCTCATGCACTGCTGGTGGGACCGCAGACTGGTACAGCCCCTGTGGCCCATCAGCAGATGAATGGGTTAAAAAACACAATAGAATACTATGCGGCAGTAAAAAAGGAGTTTTTACCATTTGCGACAGCATGGATGGAACTGGAGAGCATTATGCTAAGTGAAATAAGCCAGTCAGAGAAAGATAAATATCACATGATCTCACTCATTTATGGAATATAATGAACAACATAAACTGGTGAACAAAAACAGATCTAGAGACAGAGAAGCATCAATCAGACCATCAAACCTCAGAGGGAAGGTAGGGGAGGGTGGGGGTAAGAGGGAGAGATCAACTAAAGGACTTGTATGCATGCATATAAGCCTAACCAATGGATACAGATAACATGGGGGTGAGGGCACAAGTGGGGAGTAAGAGGAGGTTAGGGGGATGTAATACTTTAATCAATAATGAAATTAAAAAAAAAGTTGTACAAGTTAAAAAAACAAATAAATAAGTGGAACAACAAATTGATCTCTCTCTCTCTCTCTCTCTCTCTCTCTCCCTCTCTCTCTCTCTCCCTTCCCCCCTTTACTCCCCCCTTCTCTAAAATCAATAAAAGCACAACCTTGTAATGGTAGAGCTCCCAAATGATTTACTTAAAATTTTCTTCAGAGGTTTTTAAAATAAATTACTACATATTGTTCTTTAAACAGGATATTTGTTAAAGAGTAAAAATTATCTATCATCCCATCGCCAGAGAAAATAAGTTGTACTTCACTTATTTGAAGTGACATTGTGTGTATACATTTTGCCATCCATATTTTCTCACTTTTTAAAGCTTTTGAAGCACTCTGTAAACCATGACTTTAATGGCTGCCTTATGATCCACACTATTATGGACATTTAAGGATAAGTTTCCAGGTTTTGTTTTAATTGCTTTTTTATGTGTCATTATAAGCAACATCATAGTTAACATCATTGGCATTTAATATTTAAAGTGAATTTTGTTTTAGCATATTTACTGTAAAAACAATACATGTCAATTGTATAAAGCTTTAAAAATAACAGACAAAGCCTGGCAGGCATTACTCAGTGGTTGAGCATGGATCTATGGACCAGGAGGTCGCTATTCGAATCCCAGTGAGGCACATGCACCAGTGAGGGGGGCATGCAGAAGGCAGCCGATCGGTTATTCTCTCTCATTATTGATATTTCTATCTCTATATCCCTTTCCTTCCTCTCTCTCTAAAATCAGTAAAAAATTAAAATAAAAACCCATTGGAGTGACAGGTATAACAGACCAAAAAATTATTATCCAGAGAACTACCCTTGGATGTATTCCAAATCTTTTTTCATTCAACAGCCATTTTTCAGTACTGGTTGCTCTGAGAAAGATGGAAGCTATTGGAGTGATAACTGTGTCATATTGCAAATGTTTTCTCTAATTGTATTTTAATATGTTTGTGCTGCTTTTCCAATTTTTAGGTAGATATATGTAATAGGAATACGCAGTCATGTTAAGAAGATGCTGCTTTTGATGTGACACCTGCTCTCCACAGTTAACAGTCTAGTGAATATTTAGTCATATGCCATGTCAGTCTCCAAAGTGCAGAAATGCGTGTGCTTTTTAGAAAGGAACTGTGCCACTTAAAAGTTGCATTGTAATCTAATTTTCTCCAATAAGATAAGAACTCCCTTCCATGCTACTGAACCGTCTTTTAGGATCAACTTTAATGGTTGCAGAAGAATTATCTGTGTGGATGAACCATATTTTATTTTACTAATCTATAAATAGTCAGACACTTTCTTTTCTAATTCCTGTTTGCTCTTAAAATCCATAGAATACATGTTTTGCTTCTTTTTAATAGGATAATTAACATGACCTCCACAAGATGCTGTCTCTCTTCCTCATTCTTATAATATCTCTAAGCGGATCTCAAAATAAGTTCCTTTGTAATATACCCAAGTGTTAGTTATTTGTATATTCAAGAGCAACATGAGTACACAGCTCAAGGTGGCTGTTTCCTCTCTAGCCATAGCATTGTGAACTTCTCTAAAAGATCAGTTAATGAAAAATCTGCATGAAGATTAAAAATCATATTGTTCTCCTGCCTACTATGATTAAAGCTCTTCTAATCTGTTATCTGCTACCAGAAATAAAATCACTAGAAAGGCAAGTTTGATTGATTGGTTGATTGATTTTTTTATTTTATTTTTTTAGTGAAAGCTTGGTACTTACTCAACACTTGCCAGAAGGCATTATCAGCTTTGCTGGGTACCGTGACAGGCATTTTTAATGAACTGATAAAATATCAGAGGTGCTTAGTAGAACAATTAGTGAGGTCAACAAAACCACTCCTTTTTTATCCCATCTTTCCATGCCTTTCTTTCAGCATAATACCACATCCCTCTAACACTTTGTAGAGAAATAAACAATCTTGCTGAGGAAGAGAAGTAGGACATGGCAGAGTGGAAATAGTGCCAGAGGAAAAAGATGTGACAGGGCCACATGAGCACCCAATTCCCCCATCTTTGGTGGCCTTGCCCAGAGTCCAAAGGAGCTTACCACATTGTCCATAAGCTAAGCTAAGCTTTTCAGTCCTAATATCATGGAATTCATATATAGGGCACTCAACCTACTGATCAAAGAACCTGGATTCTGGCTTCAATGATTATGAAGTAGCTAAGTATATCTTCTTTGCAAAAAACCTTGATTTTGATAAGTCCATTTGGTTTTTAAAATCAACTTCTGAAGTGGAAAATTGGACTTCCCCATTTATATTCAGAATATTTATTTACTAGTTTTTATTAACTCATGGAATAGCCTGAGAGTTGTCCCAAAACCAAAATAAATGAGTCACTTCATTGCCCATTTTGGACTCCTCCTTCCTGTGTGCTCCCTCACTTGAAACTAATGTCTGAAATTCCTAACAGATTTATGAACCCAACAGCATCTTCAATGTGCTCAAATATTTCCTAGCTCAACCAAGTTAAGCATGTTCTAATCTTTTAGGGCCTGCTAGCTCCAGCTAGCTGGATAAACTAATTTGTTATTGTTATAGTAGGTGTTAAAAGTAAATGTGTTCAGGGAATAAAAATCAATAGGAGTCTTTTATTACATAATATACATAATTTCCAGTAACTATAGCAGGCCAGGATCAGAGGAGAGATGAGACTATTGATCAAGTGGGGATCAAACTAATGTTTCTATGCTTTAGGCTGTTGACAATTCTCATAGCTACAATGAATCAAACAGAGAGTCTATTAAAATTGCAGTAAGTCAAACCCAGAGCTTCATGGCTTGTTTCTAGTAATTAGACTAGCAAGAATTCTTGATGCTGTGTCTGTTAATGATCAGGCTGTTGACCTAAAATAGTTCTTCTAGGTAGTCCTAACATAACCCTTGATAAGCACCCATCACTAATTCTCTTCATAATGGCTCTTCATTTTATACACAGTCTTTCCAGCTTTCTTCATTCATTTTAGTACTATGAATGGGCAAATAGTCATTGGAAGACTTGAGGAAGATGTAATTCTCCCTTAATCATTTGAGAGCGGGTGAAAAAGTCGTAATTCACTGGAGGAATCAGGGTGATGTTTATACGTACTACAAAGACAGTGACCATTTGGGAAAGCAAGATCCCAGATACACAGCCAGGACACCCTCTTCCTCAGTGAAATCCACAGTGAAAGTGCTTCCCTACCTTTCAGAAGATTAAGCCATTTGGATGAAGGAATTTAATTGTGCTATGTGGAAACAACAGCTAGAAAAATCACAAAATGGTCCTAGAGGTGGGAGGTAAGTATGCATGTAAGATTTTACAAAACATAACAATGATATAATTCCATGTTTTTCTGAAGTGTCTTTTTCTTAGTTTGATATACTAGGGGCTTCCTAAGTCAATACACACAAATAGACCTCATTTTTAATGAATAATATCTCATAGTATAGACATGCCATAATTGACACACCCATTCTCCCATTGGTAGATATGCAAGCATTTCCAGTGTTTTACATTGCAAGAAAAAAATGAGATTAACATCCTTACATTAAACGCAGAGAAATGATCTGAAGAAAAAAAATAAGTGTTAGATGTAAAATTTTAATGCATTACTTCCATCAGCATTATAAGAGCATCCACTTTCCCCTTAGTCTTATCAGTACCTAGAACCATCAATCATAAAATTAATGCCAATATGATATCTTAAAAATATTGAATTATTGACTTAAATTGCACTTTTTTTTGGTTTCTGAATGAAAACAGAATGGCAGCAATGGACACTGGAAAACAATGAAAATGCTCATATGAAATTGTACAGTTAATTTTAATATTATATTCAGTTAACCTTGGAGAACACAGGGATTAGATGTGCCAATCACCCATGCAGTTGTAAATCTGCGTAAACCTTAAGCCAGCCCTTCACATACATGTGTTCTCAATGGCCAGTCGACCCTTGAAGAATGTGGGTGTGAATCCTGCAGGGTGATTGAAAAATATCTGCAAGTGAGTGGACCCATGCAGTTTATACACACTGTGTTCAAGCATCACCTGTACTTACCTCTTGCCCATATTAATTGTATTTATCTATTCATTTATTTATTGGAGAAGGGGCATTTTCTAATGCGTTGTTTTACCCAGCACTGTTCCTTCTCCCTCTGTCCTATTTTACTGTGTCAGACCTTGACTCAGAAATCTAAGAATAATGTGTAAGTAATGTCAAAATGACTGAGTAGTACAGTACCTGAGGAGTGCAGAGTCCTGCATGAGCGCTAGTTTATAGACTTCAACACCCACATTTTGGTTGCTCAGCGAGGCTATTAGATTTCATTCTCGAGTTCTTTCTAGAGAATTGAGATCGCCATTTGCTATGTATCCATGAATGCCCTTTTTTTTCACTTGTAGATAACCACACACGATCTTACCATTCTACAGTTTTTGTTTTGTTTTTCCTTTCAGTGACTGCCAAGTTTTGCTCATAAAGCTTATCTTTCCATTGCATGGATATTAAAATAATAAATGTTCTGCAAAGATGGCCTAACAAGAAGCTAATGATGACAGTTTCCAAAAGCCCTTCTTACTCCCCCTTCACTTTTGTCACACTGGCGATAAAGTATGAAAAGAGGAACACAAACAGCTCCGTAATATGTGGCGTGTTGTGTTTATTCTTGTCCAGTTCGTACATGGCAAGTGGACAATACACCTATCCCTGAAGGCAAGATGGAAGGAATTGGGTCTTTTGATCCTTTTTATAATAAGGGTAGAGTAAATATCATAGGATCAAATTTATTGTGTGCATGTACTATTGAAAATCCATTGCTGAAGCAAACATGGACAGGGAGATGGACAATGAAAAGTGGGCTTCATGGGGCTTTCTGTGTATATGTGCTATATCCAAGGGTTGGGGGAATGGGGAATGATTTACAGGACTGAACGGAACACAAAGGAAAGAAAATGCATCTGTGACTGTTACAAGACTGGGACTGGAGTCCCCGGTATAATATTTGCTGGCTATTTTACCTTAAGCAATCAATCATTTTTACTTCTGAACATTAGTTCCTCATTGATTAAATCGAAGTAATTCTCACCTTGCTAGGTGTTTATGAAAACATTTGTGAAATGGAAATTAGCATATTTATTCATAAATACCAATGTATTTCTCTTTGGTTTTTTCTCTAAAGAGGGTTTTCTACCTGCATTGTACTTTAAAAGGTCAGAGGAGAAGGAAAGAATGCTTGCTTGCCTATTACCAGGTCCCAACCTCTGATTCTCTTTCAACTAAACAAAAGTTAACTAATTAGTATTTTTGGTTTCTCTTTAGTTTCTCTCTTTTTTAAATTTTTTTATTGATTAAGGTATTACAAATGTGTCTTTATCCCCCCATTGTCCCTTCATTCCACTCCACCCCCCCCTTCTTGCCCTCACCCTCACCCCCTGTTGTCTGCATCCATCGCTTATGGTTAATGCATGCATACAAGTCCTTTAGTTGATCTCTCCCCATTACCCCCACCCTCCCCTACCTTCCCTCTGAGGTTGTTTCTCTCTTTTTAAAATTATCTTTATTGTTGAAAGTATTACAGATGTCTCTCCCCTTCCCACCCACCTCCATGCCACTCTCTTCCCCTCCCCAGGCCTTCACTGAACTATTGTCTGTGTCCATAGGTTATACATATATGCATATAAGTTACTTGGTTAATTTCTTCCTGCTCCCCCCTTCCCTCTGAAATACATCAGCCTGTTCTATGCTTCTATGTCTCTGGGTCTATTTTGCTCATCAGTTTATTTTGTTCATAGGATTCCACATATAAGTGAGATCATGTGATACTTGTGTTTCTCTGACTGACTTATTTCACTTAGCATAATACTTTCCAGGTCCTCCCATGCTGTTTCAAAGGGTAAGAGATCCTTTTTTACAGCTGCATAGTATTCCATTGTGTAAATGTCCTCAGCCTTTTTATCCATTCATCTACTGATGGGCACTTGGGCTGTTTCCAGATTTTAGCTATTAATAATGGTTCTATGAACATAGGGGTGCATATATTCTTTCTGATTGCTGTTTTAAGCTTCTTAGGATATATTCCTAGAAGTGTGATCGCTGGATCAAATGGCAGTTCCACTTTTTCTTTTTCTTTTGTTTTTTTTTTTGAGGAAATTCCACAATGTTTTCCAAGTGGTTGTACCAGTCTGCATTCCCACCAACAGTGCACTAGGGTTCCTTTTATTCCACATCCTCACCAGTATTTGTTGTTTGTTGATTTGTCGATGGTAGCCATTCTGGCAGGTGTGAGGTGGTACCTCCTTGTCATTTTTAATTTGCATCTCTCTGATGATTAGTGACTTTGAGCATATTTTCATATGCCTCTTGGCCTTCTGTATGTCCACTTTGGAGAAGTGTCTCCTCATACCTTCTGCCCATTTTTAAATTGGATTGTTTGTCTTCATTTTGTTGAGTTGTATGAGTGCTTTATATATTTTGGAAATTAACCTCTTATCAGATGTATCATTGGCAAATATGTTCTCCCATACAAAGTTCTCCCTTTTCATTTTGATGACAGTTTCTTTAATATGCAGAAGCTTTTTATTTTGATACTAGAGTCCCAGCGCACAAAATCATGTGTGGGTAGGGTGCCTAGGCCTAGTCTGTGATCAGGCCCATCTTCCACCCACTTGCCAGCCTCGGGTCGGGACCTGCCTCCACCGCAAGACACCAGGTTCCCCTCGCTGGCCTTCATCCCACCCTGTTGCCTCTGCCAGCCAGCCGGTTCCCTTCACTGGCCCCGAGTCCCAGACTGCCACCACTGCCAGCCGCCCAGTTCCCCTTGCCAGCCCCCCACCTCATAGTGACTGGTTGAGCCGTCATTCCGGTCATTACGCTTATGATTGCTGGCCTTTTATTATATAGGACTAGAGGCCCGGTGCACAAAAATTTGTGCAAGGGGGGGGAGGTCCCTCAGCCCGGCCTGTGCCCTCTCGCAGTCTGGGACCCCTCAGGAGATAAGGACCTGCTGGCTTAGGCCTGCTCCTGGATGGCAGAGGGCAGGCCCAATCCCATCCCTAGGTGCAGCCCCTGGTCGGGCTCAGAGCAGGGCCGATTGGGGAGTTGGGGCGCTGCCCCCTGTCATGCACAGAGCAGGACAGATCGGGAGGTTGTGATGCCACCCCCAGTCATGCTCAGGGTAGGGCTGATTGGGGGGCTGGGGCGCCACCTCCTGTCACCCTCAAGGCAGGGTCGATGCGGAGA